GCGTTAATTTTGCCGGGCAGTGTATTACAAACTTTACTTAATATGTTAAAACATACATATTACGTAGGTAATGTTTGTGTTTCTGTCATCATTTTTATTCAGTTATATAAAATAATTTTACACATTACAATTACAAAATTATTTAAACGTTTTTCTTTCTAAATTGTAAATATATTAAATTTTATAATACTCTTTAAAATAGAAGTACAAAATGCGACGTTTTATTTTTAATTATCTAAATTTTTGTTTTATTTTTAATAATTTAATTGGGCCTTTTATGATTACTTCAAATACCTAATTAAGAAATTTTGATCGAGTCGCTTTTGCGTAGCAGTTTAGAGTAACCTAATTTTCTTAGATAATGAAAATTGTATGAATTATTTTAAATTAGGATTAAAGTTCATCCCACTATTATTATAATTGATTTGGTTTTTTGTGGGTCAAACATTGTGTAAAAATGGTTTACTAACATAAATTGCAACCTTAATTAAGATAGTTTTAGAATAACATCTAATTTTTTTTATTTAATACATGTAGTATTGAAATTTCTGGAAAAATTGAGCAGCTGGAAAAAATCATCCTTAGTACCAATTGGAAAATTTCAATGAATGACATACAACATTTTATCTTCAAGCACAGATTTATTTGTTAAACGATACATAAAACGTACTTACAATAATTATTATAATAAGAATTATTTAAAGTAAAAACCCCAAAATTAAATTTTCTCGACTTATGAAACTGTTGTCTCCCATGTGCGTTATAAAAATGGTTGCTATCTCGTTCTAGACTAGGTTGGCATGGTTGACAGATATATTTTGTGACAGTTTTTGTCAAAAAATAAAAAATAGTATATTCTTATACGAAAGATAATGCAGGCTATTATTCACAAGGATGAGGTTTGCATCTCGAGACGTCAGCCGAGATACGTAAATCACCCGATAAATAATGCGCATTTTTTACTCGGATGATTTACGTATCTCGCATATATGCTTTTTCTACTCCAATAAGGTAATTTTCATTGATAAAGATCATTATAGTCGCCCCTCGTATATATAACATCTGTTAACCTTACTTTTTCCCAATTTAAAACCCGATTGGTTAAAAAAACAGTGAATATTGAAATCAGCCAATTACAGATGCCTATAAAAACGTGAAATTTTTGTTTTGGTGTCTGTGGTTTAATATACCCGTTGTTAGGTCGGGCGGTTATATTGGTTACCATTAAGCCGAGTTCATATAGATGCGAATTTGCGAATTTACGAATTTGCGAAATACGAATATTCGCATTTCGCAGCTCCTATTCATATAGATGCGAATTGTCGGAACCATTTTAGGGAGATTGTTTTCTCACTAGGCGATATTTGCCATGGTATTTTAGGGACATTATTTTCTCTCCAGGTGATATTTGCCATACTTGGTTAACATTTTCTATAGGTAGGTAATTAAATAGTAAAGTTACTTGTAAAAAAATATGCTACTATAAGGTAAAATAAGAAACTAATGTACCTCCAAAAACTCTTTGTCCATTATAAAGAACAAAAAACAACTTTAGCAAGAAACATTTCAAATAAAACTCAACAACGATGCAATACAAATGAAATAAACACAGAACATAAACAAAAATGGCGCGGGTACATATAACAAATACGTATAATAGACATCTGCATTAATGCGCATGCGCATCACGCCAAATTCGTGCGATTTTCGCAAAATATTGGATCAATCTCAAGATTCCCGCCCCCCAGATTTCAAATCTTGCGAATTCGCAGAATCTGTCGAAACGTCGAAACACTTTTCCCGCCAAATCAAATGGACCAATGAAAACATTTTCGCATTTCGCAAATTCGCATGTCGCATCTATATGAGCCAGGCTATATTTACGAAAAAAAACAAATGTCAATAATATGCTATAGCTACTTCTATATATAGAAGTAGAAAAAATTAAGTAAACATTAAAATATAAAAAAAATAATAGAATTGTAATACCTTTAAAGAAATATCATTCAATTGTTTTTGAAATAACATGTAGGTATACGAAGGACCGGATTAAGAGTTTTGAGGCCCTGGGGCCGACATTTGGTGGGGGCCCTCAATATTTCTAAAAAAAAATGCCACTTTAAAACTCATGGTAAAAAACAAATGTTAATAATATGCTATAGAAGTAGAAAAAATTAAGTAAACATTAAAATATAAAAAAAATAATAGAATTGTAATACCTTTAAAGAAATATCATTCAATTGTTTTTGAAATAACATGTAGGTATACGAAGGGCCGGATTAAGAGTTTTGAGGCCCTGGGGCCGACATTTGGTGGGGGCCCTCAATATTTCTAAAAAAAAATGCCACTTTAAAACTCATGGTAAATTTTTAAGCTAGAGGAACTTTACGTGATTTTTTATTATCCTTGAATCATTTATTATTTAATAAACCATATAAATTTTTAATAAAATCGGCCAAAGCGTTTTTAAGCTATAGGTAAATAAAAAACTAATTTTTTTAAACGAAAACCCTGTATCTCGATAATGAAGCTTTTTCGGACACGTGTTTATAGGAACTTTTTTTCATATTTTGATGAATTTCCACTGAGCTTTTGTCACCACAAGTCTGAATCACCCTGTATATTTTGAATAATACGAACATAACCATCAGTGGCGTAGCTAGGCTCGAGGGGCCCCGTATTAAAAATCTGGTAGGGGCCCTTATACCGGAAAAGGTGCTGGCAAAAATTTTTTTAAGGTATAATTTTTTTGCATTTACCAATTTTTATAATTTAATAAATAATATATGTGGGTGAATCTCACGAAATGTCCCCCGATGGTGTTACCCCGTGATATTTAATAAATCTAAATGAGTTTGACCTACACTTTTATTGTGTTTTGATCTTTCATAATTAAGTAGATATTACAGCTCAGGTTAACCGCAATTAATTTATTTTTACATTGTTTTAAAAGTCTAAAACCTATCCTCCGTGACTGTTACTCTTTCTGGGTTAACCTATATGTTTTCAAATATCTGAGGTAGTAAAAGCATACTAAAAATATCAGTTCACTAAGTAAATTAAACACATCCAAAGCAATTAAATCAATGATAAAATATTATTAAAAATTAAAAGAAATAATTTTTATAACCATTTATGTAGGTGTCACAAAAATTGATTCTATCCTCCGTGAATCTGCTTTTGCTTTAAATTTTATGCAACGGATGGCGCTTTAATCATTTTAAATAAGCAAAAACCAAAAATAAAAAATAATCATTTTCACTTGGGGGACATCTCAATATATTCACCCATGTATACATAGCTTTTTATGTACAGGCAAATTTTAAAATTTTATCTGGTTTTAGACATTTACCGTTCTTTAACATCTTTTAAAAGGTTTCTATTTTAAAATAAAGGCAAGTCAACCTATGATAATACTCATAGCAGACTCAGTATGCAGCGCAGAGCACAGAACAATATGCGCAGACTGCGCCGCAGACCACGCATAGCGGAAAGGTGCGGGCAGAAACATTTCGTATGAGTTAACGGCCTCGTTGGAACAGGAGGGTATTCAGGAAAATTTTAATTTAATAAATCGAAAAATAAACAATAATATTATTTATTTATTTAATTTGATGCCTCAATTTTTTTAACATTTGGGTAATATATTTTTTGCTTACGCATGTCGAAGCCAATCGGGGGCCCCCCTAGCCGGGGGCCCTGTATCATTGATACGGCTGATACCGCGGTAGCTACGCCCCTGATAACCATATACATTTTACCCAAGTCTGAGAAATTATAAATTCGTATGCAAAACTATAAAAACGTAGATAGTAGAATAGAATTGTGAATGAAAGTGTTTGTATATACTTTATATTTTAAAAGTCGTATTATTTGTCTGTTTTTCATACAAAATCATCAATAATAAAACAATGTTTTGTCCAAAGAAAAGAACGAAACATTATTTCGGAAACACCGGAAAATATTCCACAACACTCCAATGTACCAATAAAAATCTGGGACAAAAACTAACTTTAATATTAGATTATAAGTAATTGACTGTTTGCCTGTATTTACGAAAAGCACTAAAGGAGCAATTGTTTTGAGTCATAACTTATGACTATAGACTACATAAAAACGTCTTCGCGCGCCAAAACTTTGAGTGTGATAGTTAGATCTACGAAAGATTAATTGAAAATTACAGAATTCGCGCGGTATAACCGACCCAATTTTTTATTTTTTCGATAATTTTTTTCATATTCGTTTCATTAAAAAGCTACATATTGCATTGGTGGGGGCCCCTAAATGGTGGGGGCCCTGGGGCCGTGGCCCCGCTGGCCCCGTCCTAAATCCGGCCATGACGAAGGTATATGAAGATTAAAGAATATTTTTTAAACTCTTTCTGTATAAAAATATGAATTTATGATTTTTAACAAAGAAATCGACTTAGGTATTTATTACTTTTTCTACTCGCGCTCGCTTACTTTGCACACGCAAATGCGTTAATACAGGAATTAGAAAATTTAATCATGAAGCCTTTAATAGTATTTTTAATTAGAAACAAAAAATGTTGCATTTCTATGTAAAAAATATAAGTAGCAAGTTTCCGCACGCTAGCTGGTAGAAAAAATGTTAAAGTTAAAAATTAAAACTGATTAAGATAATTACGAGATTTCCTTGCTGGTAGAAAAAATATTGTTCCCAACACGCAACGTAATATAACTTTGCAATTGTTAGAAAATAACTAGGTATGATGCATTTGATGCGTTTTGAATTTTACGCAAAATATAGTGTTTTTATGAAACAAATTTTTGTAGTTGGCAACAACAGTCTCGTCTATGTTGGCAACACTTTCTATAGTAGCCCTCTGTCAAGTTTTTACCAAATCTTTTAAAGCATCTCTTTCAATGACGATGGTTAGGTTATCTACACGTGGTCAATACACGTTTTCCAAAAACTTGGTAATATTAAGTTAAGCTATAGGTTTAAACTTTATTATTAATACAAATATTTCTTCACAGTGCTGTAAAATTACTACTTGAAGAAAATGGGGCCGATCCAAATTTGGTTCTTCCCATTAAAGGAATTTCGCCTTTTCATCTGGCTATTGGCTGCGACTCGAACGACGTGGCAATCAGGCTCACATCCTTAATTTTGCAACATGGGGGCAACCCCAATGTAAGGTAAATATCTTTAGTTAAATACTTAATAAAACCACGTGGCCACGTGGTTAAATTTTGGAATATCTCAAGAAAAAGGATTATTAAAATCAAAACACGTGTTTGTTAAATAAAAAACTAAAAAACATATTTATATGGAAATTTTATTTAAATATCCATTTTTAAAATGTCTATTTAACAAATTTAGTTACCATTGCCCTGGCTTAGTTAGCACATCAGTTTTTCTTAAAATTCTAACCCAATTGTTTTTCTTATATTACAACACAAGGTATTTTTCCTTCATAAAACTGTTATGCCACCTGAGTACTACTCTTCGAAAGAGTGGTTAAAATCCGATTTATAAAAACTCATTATACTTAGTTACCCTTAAAAAAGATTTGAAAAAATATCAACTTCATTTATTAACAAAAACTTCAGAAATACACTGATAATATAAAATCATAATAATTTTTTTATAATTATTTTTCATAATTAAGAATTGTAATTTAGATAGCAGTATCCTGTACACAGTATCTACTACTATAATTAGTTGTTTTTTAATTTAATAATATTTACTTCTTACTTAATGAATGGTCTGTTAATATTTATAAACAAGAAAAATACAAAGATCAAGATCAAAGATGTGAAAATATTATGAATGGAAAAAATACAACAGTGTGAAAAACTATAATAATAAATAATAATTTATTTAATTCATAGGGAAATGAGGTTTCAAATTTCATATATAAGATTATGGTATGGTTAGGTTTAAAATGTGCTAACCTTGTGGCTACAGTATTAAAACCCCTTAAAAATATGAGAAAAATAATATTAAAATAAAATCATATTGACTTTTATTTTTAACTCTTATAGATCTGACGATGGGTTAACCCCTTTGCATATTTCTTCTGCATGGGGGAGATATGAAATACTCCAATTACTTTTATGTTCCGGAGGAGACCCAGAATTTAGGGACATCAACAACAAAACACCCATACATTATGCCTACGAAGAAAATTTTACTGACTGCCTAAATTTACTGAAGGCCCATCTACCGAATAAACAGGAAATATTCAACAGAGAAAATGAGGAGACAAACAAATTCAACATGGTTTTTGGTAAATATGTTTTATTTAGTTTAAAAATGTTACACATACACCTTAAATAGGTTTAATGAAGTTAAAATCATAAAAAAGTCATTAAATTTAATTTTTTACCAGTCTTTATATAACATTTAAACAACTAGCTGCCTCACACCAGTTTTGAAGTAAAATTAAAGATAAAAACTCGGTGTTGTAGACCTTAATGTTTGCGTAAACATGAAGAGGCAAATCCACTTTTATCAGTTTTAAATTTAAAGATAGAGAAAGGGACAAAGTTCTTGTTTGTATTTCAACAAGATATCGATGTTAATTGCCTGTTAAATGAGTTAAATACGTCTTCGCAACTGATATAGCGCTGTTTACAAAGCAAAATTTGTCTGAAACGTCATATATCGTAGAAAATTTCGAGAAAATATGATACTTTGATATTGCACCAAGTGTGCTGTGGGGAATGCTAAAATTGGTTTTGCTTTCTATAAAGTCGAAAATTTTAACACTTGTTTTTTCACTTTTTTCAATCTTAGTAATATTCACATGATGAAATTGATTTAGGAAGAGTTTGATACAAACATGACAATACTCAAATCACTGATTATTATTTATCATAACACCAAATCCAAATTAACCATATACACCAAACTAACACTTTTTTATATAAATTCCAGACAAAATAGTTGTTGACAACGGCACGCAATTAGGCGAGTACGAAATAGTAAAAGAGTATGACTCACAAGAATATTCGATAACAAAAAAAAATTTACAACTTTTACCTCAAGCTGATACAACAGAATATGTTATGAGTTGGTTTTCCAAACACCATAGCAATACAGAACAGAATTCCATATACTTTAATTTAACAGAAAGTAATAAACCTAAAAACAGCATTGATAGTTTTGAATCATCTGATGATGAATCAAGTGTGGAAGTAAAAAAGGTTTTACCAGTGGAGAATATCACTTTTAGAAAGGTTTACACGAAGACCAGAAAAATAAGCACTGCAAGTAAAAATTCCATAAGCCCAAAACCTAAAGAATTATCTGTAATCGAACTGGAAGATACAAAAAATGATAACACAATGTACACAGCTGACGAGTTCTCCACCTTTGAACAATTCTCCAAAGAAAGCGGCATAATATCACTCCGACACAGTACAAAATCCCAAGACTCACTTTTCGATGAAGACCTGACAGTAAACTCCCCCAAAAACTCTTTGAAAATTCCCAAAATCTCTAAACAAGACGCTAGCAGCGACTACATGACGTGCTCCACAAACAGCGATAACCAAATTCTGGAGAAGAATATTTTCGAGATTACCGAAGATTTAAGCGTTAATTTGTATGTTCAGGATGAGGTGAGGAGTGAGGGCAGCAATGGGAGCAATTTGAGGAAGAGTCAAGGCGTTTTAAGTGCGGATTTGAGTTTTGTCAGCGTTTCCGAGGTTTATAAGTATGTTGATGAGGAAAAAGGGGTCGTGCTGTATGAAAGGAGGTTCTTGAAGACACCTGCAAGGTAAGAATAGAATTTTTTTTGATGTTTTGGTTTGAGAAAAGTTATTGTTAAAAATCATTATTAAATTAAATTTTATATTATAAATTAATTTATACTTGGTATGATGAATCACAAAATTGTTCAGTAAATCAGAAATAAATATTGGTTAATTGTTAAGTAAATTAAAAATATAATAAAAGAATAAAAGAATCTTATATATTATAGAAAATAAAAGTATTTCTATAAGATAACGAAAAATTACATAAAAAATAAAAACCAACAAGTCTAAAGAAATAAATGTGAAGGAATTAAAATACAACTCTTGCAAAACGTAAAATAATTTTGATTGTTATTAGTTATAAAGAAGCCTAAAAATACAAAAATACAAAAATTCATGATTCTTTTTGATTTAATTTTTTTCAATTAGTTTTGTATTTTTAAATTGCTAAGGAAGTAAAAAATATATAAATTATAAGAGTAGTAATATCTAATACTTGTTTTGAATTTTTAATTTGTTTTGTAATAATATTTTATTATAATAATTATTCTCCCATGTTAAGGGGTTATACTTTTTGACTGCAAAGCATTAAATTATACAATTTGTCCCAAAGTTCAGTTACAAAAAAAAAAAGAATATTGTTTTCAACCCTACAACACAAAAAACTTTTTCAATATGTGTATATACACAGGGTGTTACAAAATTGGTGGCCCAAAGGGCTTTTTAAAATTTAAATTTTCCTTTACCAATTTTTCGAATTTGACGATGTAGGTAGGCAAACCAGATTACATCGACAGTAGTGCGCTCTTATTGGCGGCTTTAATAGTAAATAACTTGGAATTTCAAGAGGAATTACCCTGAGGTCCGCCAATTTTGGGGCACATTGTGTAGGTACTAACAGTTTATAAGAAAATGAGATTTTCCTTGAAAATTGGGAAAGTTTTTATTTAAGATTTCGTCGTGGGTTCCACAAGGTTTCAAGTACATTTTGGTTTTTGAGTGGAACAGTGTAAAATAATCTATTACTGACGTGTTTAACATATTAAACCTGTGAAAATTCTAAAATGGTAACTCTAGAAGAACTTCTTTAAAACACTGCATACATACAAAACAAAATATACACATCTATGCTGTAGGTTTATTTAAAAGTATTAAAATATGCGTTAAAAAAAATTTCGTTTTGTTTCTTAATTTGTCGAAGTACTGTGACATGTGTCTACAGGGAATTAAAGATTATCCTGCCATCTTTACTAAAGACCTAAAGGGTCAGTAGCAAATAATTGCAAACTGAATGATGCAGAATTTATTTTACATGTGTTGGTGTGTGTGCATATCTCAATTTTTACCAAAAGTTTTCTGAGAACCCTGTGGAACAAACGCGACGATTTGTCAAAAAAACAATTGAAGGGGTTAGAATAGAAAGGGTATAAGTGCAATTTCTTTAATTTAGGAGATAAGTTCGTTTTGTGAAAGATAAGGTTCCGACGTATCGAAATGAAAAGGATTTAAGTAATTTTCATACTTCTAGAGACCTCTATTATCCAGTAGAAAAACATTACTAAACAAAATTCTTCACTTTTTTATGGTAACATAACTTTAACTTCAAATATCTCCAAACAATGAAAATGTTACTTATACCCTTTTTATTCTAACCCCTTCAATTGTTATGATGTTTTTTGCTTCTTTTCATAACACCACTTGACTTTATCTCTAACCGTTCTTCAGAAAATGTCATTTTCTAAATTTTTTTGAAAAGTAAAAATTATTAAAAGAAATCAAAAATAATTTTTGCCTCTATGTTACTCAATCCTTCCCATAGTTTCTTCAGATATTTATATTTTTACTTGATTAATCTTTGACTAATTAGTTTATTTTATATGTTTTTATTTACATTTTTTCTGGTTCTATTATTATGTATAATATTATGCAACTTTAAAAAAGCTAACCTAATAATCTAATATTAATTACTTGTATACTAATAAAAATTGATGCATCATCACCTAACAACAATAATGCCAACTAAAAGCCAAGGTCTAATGTATAAATAGTTTATCAAAGTTTTAGCCACTTATCTAAATAGGTATTTTACTCAAACTTGTAAAACTCTCATATAAATATATCTAAATTATATTCACAAAAACAATAACATTTCATACAATGCTCATTTCCTATTAAGCGATTGCGGTGGAAGCGTCAAATCCAGTTCGTTTTCCTCGAAAATGTCTTCGTTACCTGAAACAATCGACTACGACACGGATACCCTAAGAAAAGAGCTAACTTTGCACGGGTACCAACCTGGCCCCATCACTAGTACCACCAAGAGGGTATACTTGAAGAAGTTAAGGCAATTAAAGAAGAAACCCACGGTGTTTGTACAGGAAGTGCCGTCAAATAAAAAAGGTAAGAAAATATTTTATCGGATATAATTGTAAAATATACCACAATTCTAAATTTCTGTGCTTTCGTCGGTTTAAAGTGTGTTATTTCGATAAGATAAAAAAAATTAACTGAAAAACAAACCACAACGACAAAATTTTGTAGTAAAAATAGTTTAAATGTTAGTTAACAACAAGATTCCTTATTGGTTTTTTATGTTTATTTTTATAATTTCCTATTTTTAAAACCTAAGTTTTGGCCCCTTAAATTTCCCAGGTTATGATAAGGCTATATAATTTAATTTTTTTTTAAATCCTCGATAATAATAATATATAAATAACTTAATCATTTAATTTTCTACAATTTTCCATGATTTTAGATTATATATTTTTTTAACCTTATGGTTTATCAGACTAAAGTCTTCTTTTCATTATCTCTTATTTTTGCCTCTAATATTATCTGATATATGAATTTAAAAAAATGAAATTTATTATTTTTTATTATCATTACTTTTTAAGTAATATGGATGAATTTATGAATTTGAAGGAAGGCGCTGCATTTTTATAATTAAAAAAAAATATATTAACGTAGAAAAGATTTGAGGAGGTTCTTGTACCTTTACCCAAATTTCATGATGATTAAGTTTTTTAAATTTTTTATTTTAAATTTAGATGTTAAAATTACCAAAGTATCAAACTTTAAGGTGATATCTCAATTTATCAATTTTAATACTTTGATAAATAACAGTAGGTCGTGACAGCAAATTTAGCGGTGCCAATGTAGTAGAAATAAAGCGTTGTATTTTAATTAACAAATTACTACTATCAGTATCATTAAAAACTAAAAACAACATAAAAAAGTAACATAATTTGTTGTAATGGCAAAACTAATTTTTGAAATTTAAAATGACCATTATAAAAAGTGCTAAAATAGTATATTATGCATTATGTTTAATAAACACCATTTTAGTTACGAGTTTTATTAGGCACGAGCGAGTGTTTAATAAAAACGAGTGTCCAGAGAAGTTTATAAAATACTATACTTTTTCTACATCGAACACAAAGAAGAAGGCCAATTTTATTTGTAAAACAGATTATTTAAAAGAGATTATTTTAAAAATTAGTTTCCAAACTCGAGAGACAAAATAGGATTATGTTGATAGCTTAAACATTAATTATATATAGTCATTTTTTCATTTTTTATGGAAATCTCATAAGCGGGATACAAAATACACTGTGGCGTAACCTTTAAAACCAGAAATTATTTGTGAATGTGTTTGATTCTGATTCTATATCAACTCTTCAAATCAGGATACTACCTTAAGTACAACCCTTTAGAAAAAAACCTTTTTATTCCCCTCCTCAAGGGCAATTTTTTATACTTGTGTATTAAACAAACTAGTGTTTCTTTATACAGACTGCACTGTTTGACTTTGGTCTCCCAATTTCTTTGTGTTATATGTTTTATATTTAAAATCACAGTTAATATAAATTTTTTATAATTTTCCTAAAAATGCAGAAATTATTGTCTAGTTTTCTATAATAAATGTACTCTTAAATTTAAAATACATCCTGGATTTTAAGCATAAACATTGTCAGTTTTGACATTAAAAAAGGTTATGTTTACAAAAAATATTCAGTTTAGTTTATTATTTTTACATTGTATTAAATGTTTTTGTACATAATTCGTAGATTATCAACCTCTAAAAGTAGGTACTATAACCTACTTATCTACAAAACAAATAATTTCACTAACGCAATTTTTCTTTTCAGTTTACTCAGTTGAAATAGAAAAAACCCTGCGAGACTCCACATGGCAAAACGACCTATCGCCTTATAAAATCCTAGAAGAATCCGTATCAAAACAATTTAGCTGCCCAGATCCGTCGAGAAAATGGCGCGAAGGAGTCAACAAAACATCCTTCACTTACCTACTCCTGGATTCTAGAATAACGAATAATTTACCGTGTAGGGCCGAACTAATGCAGCCCAAGGAAATCTGGGAGACCTTTTTATCCGCCATTTTTTACGTCGGCAAAGGAAAGAAGTCCAGGCCTTATTCGCACCTATACGAAGCAGTTTCCCTATGGAATAAAAAGGAGTTTAAGACTACCGATAAAAAGCTACAAAATATCATCGATATATGGAAAAATAACACCGGGGTTATTTGTTTGCAAGTTTTTCACAACGTGATTCCAGTCGAGGCTTACACTCGCGAAGCCTCGATGATTTTGGCTCTGAAACTTGAAAACGTCAAAAATCTGAAATACGGAGATTTTTACGGAATCGCGGCAACCTGGAGTCAAAAACAAAAGAAGATGTTCGGGATGCACCTACTATACAAAGCCATGATGATTTTTTTAAATGAAGGTGAAAGACAACTGTATCCCAACGACATTGATAAAATTTAGGGATAAGTAATTTCGTAATTTACGCCACAATCTAGGTTTTACAGTATTATGCAATTTTTGTGGTCAAAACTAGATTAATTTGTGATATTAGTGTAAATTGTACTTTTTGGCTAATTTTTGTCTAGTCAAATTTTTTATTGAATATGAATTTGCAATATTTGTATCTTTTTATGAAATAAATATATTTTTATAAATATAACTGATTTATTCATTTAAAGGACATACAATAAACAATTCAACACCACTTGGAGGAATTCTGGCAGTTATAGTTTCATCGGACGATTTTTTCATTTCAGACTTTCTCCAAATATTCTAAAAAACAACTATAAACTATTTTCGTTTTTGTTAATAAAGAAACTTACCTGTATTACAAAAGAGCCATTGTACTTCAAAAACTCGGAAACTTTAAAATTATATTGGTAGATGGTACCATCTGTTCTATAGCTTGCAAAAGCCAAAGCTTTACAAGTATTATCAGGATTATTTCCTTGAATTATCCTTTGCCAAATATGGATTTCATTATCCTATGTAAGTAACAAAATTATTTTTTTTTGTATAAGTATAATATAGGGTCGTTCCACGCCAAATCGACCACTTTTAAACACTACCCCTTTCGATTTGGCTAAATTTTTTATATTTACTACCCATAACTTTTTAAAAAAATGACTAAATGGTTTGTTTTAGTTTATTTTGAGTTTGAGTATAAGAACGTATGGCAAGCCCCATCGGCCACGCCTTACACTGATCTTCCAGGGCTATTTTACCCCCTTTCGGTTCTATACGTATCCCGCCATTTTCACCCCGGTAGGTAATCTTCCCTAGGAGGTCGTGAATGACAGTGTCGATGGTTAAGGCCGTTCCCGGAATTTTGTCGCCAGGCCGACCATACGCCCGATTTAGTCTAGTGAAGGAGGGACAACAGTTGGTTTTTGGGGGCCTTGTACTGACCCAAACCTAAGTACAATCCGGACTCCCCCTTAACCAGGTAATGACCCAATTCAATTGGCATTCATGAATGAGGCATGGGTTATTAGTACGTTACTTGGACATACTTGCTGGTCTTGTATTTCATCCGGGTCTCTGTCCGGTCTGCTGGTTTTCGGAATCTGCTGCACGCAGTTGTTTGCCCTACTGGGGTGTTGTTTTTACTTTCCCCACACTCTTAGAATCACTCAAAATGACTCGTTATATGTTATTGACTCATTGTCCCAGAGACAAATTTTACCGAATGCAAGTCATTATTGGGTTTGGTTTAAAGTTTTTTAGAATAGTTTTTGTTTACCCTATTGAAAATGCCATATAGAACCCATATTGAATCCGATAAGGAAACGTATCTGGTTCTATATGGTTTTATAGGTCCTATATGGAAAGTCCTGGTTAACATTACGGATTCTATATGGTTGAATATGGATTTCCATTTTAAAAATTTTCATATTCAACCATATAGGGAAACCTATCTGGAAATACATATAGAACAGAAACCAGATAAATCCATATACAACCATATACATGTCTTTATAAAGACATGTATATGGTTAACAAACGCCAAAGATAATAGTTATTTATTGTAGGTAGCAAATAAAATGTAAATAAATAAATACGAGTTAATTCTAAAGTATACTTGGTAAAATATATTTTGTTTTATTAATTGTCATAAAACACTAGTGGTCGATTATAGGACACTAGAATGTTATTACCTTCATAATGGGTTACAAACCAGTATAATTATGCTCATTTAATATGTGAATTGTAGATAAATAAAATAAATACACTCATCGTTTTTTGAAGTGGTTCGCCAAAAAAATTATCCCACGTTGATAGTTTGTAACTTTTGAACGTATCTTGTTAATTTTTTTTTTTGTTAGAAAGGGCATTTCTTTAGCAGTATGTGTGCACGACTGAATTCATTTGTCCTGATTTAAAATAATTTTACAGGGTGATTTGTAAAGCTATGATTTTAACATCAAATTTATTAATGTGCAGGAGGTAAATGGGTCACCCTGTATAATTTATTTTAAGGTCATCTTACGTCTTAGCGCTGCGTGCTTTTTTGGATTTTGGTCTTACGTTATTTATTTTAAAATATATGATTTTTTAACCATCTTAAGTACACATTAAAGTCAAAAAGTTTTATTTTCATTTTTAAAGCAATAACAATAACAATAATAATAAATAACGAATTGTTAATAAAAAATAATCAATAATGGGTAGGGCCCCCTCTACTCCTTATCACCTCCTGACATCTTTGAGGCATACTTCTGATGACATTATTGATGAGGTCACCCGGAATGGCTTCCCATTCCTGTTGAAGAGCAATTCCCAGCTCTTCAATTCCATGTGGTTCAATTTGACGATCTAACATCCTTCTTTGAAGCGCATCCCACACGTTTTCAATGGGGTTGAGGTCCGGCGAAAGCGCCGGCCATTCCATTCTGGTGATATTTTCTCGTTGGAAAAATTCATTTACCACGTTGGCTCGATGCGGTCTTGCGTTATCATCCATATATACAAACTGTTCACCTATTTGATGGGACAGAGGGAGAACTATTAGTTCCAGAATTCTTTCCAAGTATCGTAAAGCATTAACTGTCTCATGGACGAAAAGTACAAGTTCAGTCTGTGGTTCAGTACGACGGTCTATTGATATCCCCCCCAAACTGTAATTGGACGACCACCGAAAGGTGTAACGCCAACCGTACAATCTTCTTCGTAACGTTCATTCACTCTTCGCCACACACGCAGGTGGCACGTTGGTATCGGGATCCTCAGAAAACCGTGATTCATCTGTGAAAAGACATTGGGCCCAGTCATTTGCAGCCCAGTTTTGATGATTCAAAGCAAATTCCAGACGTCGCCTTTTATGCCCATGATTCCATTTTGGATGCCTAGCTGGCCGTCTGGAGTGAAGTCCACCTTCATGCAATCTTTTTCTTATTGTGGATGTTGAAATCATGTTTCCGGTAGCCAGGTGCAATGCTCGTTTCAGTTGGGTAGCATTAGTTTTTCTGTTATGCAAAGCGGTTCTCCTAAGAAGACGATCTTCTGCTGGAGTTGTTACTCTTTGACGCCCTCCTCCGTGTCTATATTGCGGAGAGTTATTGTTTTCGTATCGTTTCCAAGCGCGATTAACCATACTGTATGCAATATTAAAGCGTCGGGCTACTTCCCTTTGAGAGACACCAGCTAAAACCATTCCTATGATTCTTTCAAGAATTGCACCTTGTAGACGCGGCATTGTTACAAACAATTAAATTGACACATGTCAAAACATTATTACTTCCAAAGATATCTCGATTACGCACATAGACATGAAGTGAAAGAAAAATTAATATCTTACAAGGCTATTGAGTTATGACCAAAATCCAAAAAAGCACGCAGCGCTAAGACGTAAGGCTCTATGATGACCTTAAAATAAATTATACAGGGTGACCCATTTACCTCCTGCACATTAATAAATTTAATCTTAAAATCATAGCTTTACAAATCACCCTGTAAAATTATTTTAAATCAGGACAAATGAATGCAGTCGTGCACACTTACTGCTAAAAAAATGCCCTTTCTAACAAAAAAAAAATTAACAAGATACGTCCATCCATTCAAAAGTTACAACCTATCAAAGTAGAATAATTTTTTTGGCGAACCACTTCAAAAAACGATCAGTGTAGTTTGTCAAATTGGTACCCAGACAGCCAAGTATCAGACTCAATTTTAGCCAATCAGCATAAAACCCGTAAATTGATATATCAATTTGCAAATATATTTGCTCAATACTAACATTATTTTGTGTGCATAACTATACAAATCCGTTATGTTATGCATATAATCAACGTTTAAAAAAACATTTATTGAGTATGAGTACTCATACGTATGAGTATAAGAGACGTATAACCAGCCCCATTTCCTCTTGACTCTCGAACCCCGTGCAGGCCTATGTTTACTTACGCCGATTTTTGTTCTTCCCCAGCAACTGCACGGCTTCACCCGTGTTTGCTGGGTGCGAATGTCCATTGCGTTCCGTACTGTCCCCTATTTGGGGCTTGAGAGCGAGAGGCCAAACATTTGGGATTACTATTTGGAGTTGGGGAGTTGTTATTTCGCTGCAGGGGTGTAGTTTCCTAGTCGAGGTCTTTGTCTTGTTCGTTATTGTCATTGTCCGTGTCCTGGTCAGATAGTTCCTGCTCTTGGTAAAGTGTGTCAGTTGTTTTTAATAAATTTTGTCCCAAGCACGTTTTGTGATAGAGTTTTGTCTTTTTTTTATTAAATTCCAAAATTAAGCATTGCATTTATTTATTAGTTAAACAAATTACAAGCGCGATTATTCTGTTGTCTAATGTTTACAAATCTCGAGTTTGGCTATTAGGCTTTTTTTTAATGTGTTAGAATTATGATTAATGTGTTAGTTTATTCTGTGAGTCTAGTGTTTATTTCGGTCTCGATTGGGATTGCCTTACGCATTTGTTGTTGACAGATTTATTGTCCCATGCAGTGTGCCTTTCATAGGTTTTAAAGATATCCCAATAAACATTTTAACGGTACTTATCACCATTAACATTGCCCGTGTAAGAATTTTTAATACTTTTTAATACAATTTTGCAATGATAGTAATTAAAAACAAAACAATTCTTTAAAGAGTAAAATATGTTCTTAACATAATATTTTAAAGTTATTTTAACATTTTCAAGTAAAAATAAATGTTATGTTTAATAAAATGAATAACGGGCAATGTTAATGGTGACAAATAACGGAAAATGTTTGCTGGGATCTGCCGTATTTAAATTGCAGATTGGTATCAGGTCATGCATATTCTTAAAGTAACTTATCAGCTTTTTTTTGCGGATGGCCACCTCCCCTCTTGTTTGACCTCCCCTGTCTGTCCAGTGAAAAGCCTCCAATGACAGGTGGCACTTAACTCATTCATATTACTCAACACTTCACTCCTCAATGACCGTTACACCATTTTAGTTTGCACTCTATGAAGATGTTTGTTTCACTTATTAGTTTGCACTTTTTTTTTAATTATTGTTGGTTTTATCTTTAAACTTTTACGTTTCAAGAGCTTTCCCGCACGCGACGTGTCTTCTCAAGCGCTGGAACCGAACTGAAGCGTTTAAAAAAAAAAATTTATTATTTTATATTTCTTTAATATTAAAATACATTTAATATTGGCTTAATGTTGCTATATGAGCTTGAATTATTCGATTGCCCAATAAAATTTTTAATAGGTTGTAACGACCGGGGGCAAGGGGGCACACATTTTAATAATTAAAAAAAATATATTAAAACCATAAAAAAACTACCTTTGGCCAAAACACGTGATCGTCTAGTTTAAAGAAATTAATTTAGGACCCCTCTTTGTTGTGAATACGGTTCTGGATACGTAAGTACTTGAGCAATTGAAAAGATATTTAAAAAGCAAAGAAAAAGTATTAAATTAAAATAAGTTTATTAATGAAAACAATTAATGCAAGAGTTAATATTATTGCTACTGTACATTAATAATATAAATAAAAACATTTGTATTTAA